GGAGGTTATAACCTGTTTCCCCTCAGTGTGGGGTGCACAAGCCCATATACACACAAAACCAGACGCACAACATACCCTGACACATAAAGAGGCAGATTGCTGCACACGAGAGCATAACTGGTGGAAAACAGCAGGCCAGCCTCCTTTAACAGATGTCCAGGGCCGGCTCCAGGCACCAGCTTAACAAGCAGGTGCTTGGGGCGGCCAAGGGAGAGGGGCGGCACCTACAGCAATTCGGGGGCGGCAGGTCCCTCACTCCCTCTAGGAGCGAAGGACCTGCCGCTGAACTGCCGCCGCCGATCGCGGCTTTTTTTTTTTTTTCCCAATTGCTGCTGCCGATCGCGGCTTTTTTGTTGTTGTTTTGTTTTTTGTTTTTGCTTGTGGCGGCAGAAATGCTGGAGCCGGCCCTGCAGATGTCTATCTGGTTGCCAAGGCAAATACTTGTCTCTCTGCACTTACTTTGGAGGGCAGCTAATAAGTGACAACCATAGATGATTTGCCAATAAATAACTCCTATCTGAGGTATCTGTTTTCATTATCAAGTCACAGGTGGTGCCAGCAGAATATTTTATAGTTTGTCCGTATTTTATGGTGCTCATCTATCTAACTATCTATCATACTTATAAAAGGCCAACAGGCATGTAGCATAGCTGAGGGCATCACAATCTTTAACACACACCACCTCCGTGAAGTACCATTACCCCATTTTACAGAGGGGAACTGAGAGATACAATTACTTGTACAGAGGGGAACTGAGAGATACCCAGTGTCACACAGGAAGCCCATGATAGAGCAGGGAATTGCATCCAGGTCTCCAAAGTCCCAGATTTTTTTAAGACATAATTTCTAGAATCCATATTTGCCTCACTCCATTTGACTGCGTATGAGCAGTGAGCACAGGGCAGAAGTACACTTGGAATCCAATCTCAAGTCAGGATGACATTTTTGTCTCACCCAATTTTCTCTTATCTGCCTGGGCACGGCTGAACTGTGTGTCTTTAAGGAACACCTTAACAGCCTAAGCCTGCAACTGACCCAGGGGGACAGACCCGTATGCCCACATAAAACCCCACTAACTTCAGCACAAGAGCATGGGTCCACTTGCCTGGATCTAATAATTGCAGTGCCTAATATAACTGACACAGCTAGATGAGTGCATTTCTCCACCTCCACCCCCTCTAAATTTACATCTGAAATTGTCAATTTCATTGGAAATTCAGCTCAGCTCTGCTTTGCACTGGACACAGACTTCACTGGTGCACGGGGACGAATTCCACCTTAGACCCCAACTTGCAGCTCGGTGCACACAGAAAGATCCCTGTGCCCACAGAGCCCCATTGAAGTCAGTGGGAATCCCCTCATGCACAACGCATTGCTGGATCAGGTCCAAGTTAGTTAATGTTATTCCAGTAGTTCTCTCTCTCCCTCCACCACCACCAAATCACATTCGCTATTTTATTTTACACACTTACTATGGAATACGTGGGGTGACAAGATTACCAGCCCACAGATGGAAATTGGGTTTTTAATAAAAAGTTTAAATAATTATATTTCAGACCGCAAGAAATCCATCTGAAGAGTGAATGTGAAAAATGACCATGATATTTATGAAAGTAGGGATAGCGTAAGTATGCTTAAAAGAATTCTTGACAATGTTCTTTCCCATTTATCCAGCTTGCTGAAATGTGGCCCATATAACTGTCAGAGAAAAGGAGGTTTTGATCTAGTCTCTCCATGAAAATGGTCACATAACATCTTATAGAGCCACATATGTTTCCATCATGTTGCGGAAGTTTTAGGAAGTGTTCCTCATAAAATGTGAAATTATTACAAATGAGAACATGAAAACAAATGTAGTAGGAACTTGTGTCATTGTCTCCTTTCTAGTTCTTTTACAAGGGGCATCTGTTAGCAGCCATAAACATCTTCATGAAGGAAAATAGTAGAGATGGCAAAGTGTATCAGGGCATTTTTGGGCCTCTGAAGTTGGCTAATTCTGAACAGCTAAACTAGGGAAGTAGAAACAAAGATGCAGGGCTCACTTTGAACTTGAGTGTCTCCTATACTACAATCAAATCTGGTCTAAATAATTTTATGAGTAAATCAATCTCATTCTAAGGGACATGAGGGAGACTGGTTATGTGGCTTAATAACTGACATGAAGGGCATTTAGGAAGCTGATGTACAAAAGACAATATGTGCACATGTAACCCCGACAGACCCTGGTTGTTGGCGGGCGGAATTGAACATGGGACCTCTGGAGCTAAATGCATGAGCCTCTACTGCATGAACTAAAAGCCACATGGCCCTTAGCTAAGGCTGTAGCAGACTCATTAATCTGTCAGTGGTCTCAGTGCCACTAGAGGGCACAGAACACCACACCCCAGAGGTGTGTGGGTTACACATACTCACATATAAAGAGTAGTATGCCAGCTTTGGTGAGAGTTAGGCAGATGAACATCTAGACTCTAGTAGTGGAGATGCTTGGGAGACACAGAGGCACAGAATAACAAGTCTGGTACATTGTACTCAAGAAATAAATGTGCAGCATGCAGCTGGAGAGAGATCTCTATTAAAAAAAAATCATTCCCCCCCTCTCTGTGAGAAAGTGTCAATAATTTTGCTTTATGAGCCCAGTTTTTTCACAAGCTCTAAACCCTAGAATTAGATACTGTATGCGTCTGTTTCTAATTTATTTTAGTACTGAAAGCCATTGAGTGATCCAGAATAGCCACTTGCTATTAAAGAGGCCATTTCTCAAGTGATTCTTCCAGTAATATTATACATCTATTGACTACATATAATCATAAAGTACTTCACAGCTGTAATATAAAAATTATACAGGATTCAGAAAACTCAGCACCAAATGCTATACTTTTTTTTTTTTTTTTTTTGGTAGTAGATTCAATCCACGTAACTCTAGTTCTCAAAATACTTCAACAGCTGAAGACTTTTCCAGTCAACAGTGTCGGATGTGTTTTCTTGCTGCTTCTCAGCGGTCTGGCAAAGATCAAGCATGGTATTGGCTTAACATTGGATACCTCTTCTACATGAAAATGGACAAGATCTGGGAAGGACAGGCTTCTCCATCTCTAAGCCACTAAACAGCCAAATGTAGCATTGCCACATTGAGGTTTTCTTGAATCTCTTTCAAGGGTAGCATTGCCTCTGGAGTGCTGAGAAACCACATTACAACAATTAGTCATCTCCTCCAGCTCTCTCTTTTGCACTTACCTGTGTGGGTCATTTTCTTTTATGGATGCAGCAAGTGCCTGGCTGAATATGGGATAGACTCCAGCACATGCATTATATCATGTTATGGATGTTCAGTTAGTTTTTCTGACAGTCTTAAGGTTCTTTTCTAGGATCGACAGACACACCTAAGAAAGCGTATGATCTTTAAATCCCTCCTTGTAAATGTCCTATTCTGAGGTTTTAAGCTGTGTTCAGACAGGATTTGAGTATAATAAAATATGAGTAGAGTAGAATTCTAATTATGCAGCACCCCAAACAACATTTCTGTCTCTAATCAACTCCCAACTTGTCTCCCTCTGACACCGATTTCTGAGGTTACCGGTTTCTGATCATCTGAATTTTTGTTTACCCAAACTTATTTGGTGTCACTACAGCAGTTTGGCTAATCAGGTTTCTCCTGCACAGCCTGGCGCTGCCTTCTTCCCAAAAGAAATGGGGAAAACTAAACTGTACTCTTAGGCCATGAACTGCCTTCACCGTGGGCACGTGAGAGTGTGCAGATCCAGGATAATGTAACTGGCTCCAGGTTAGCAATCCTTCATAGTGGAAGTGCGTCTAGAGCACAAGTAGTAGAATCTAGAATCTCTGAGATCTGTTCCTAGCTCAGCCACTGTGCAGCCTTGAGCAAGTTGTGATGGCTGTGTCTATAGTAGCTAGTGTAGATCAACGGCTAGCAGGCATTTTTACGACCACTTCATTTAACCCTGTCTATGTGAGATGGTGCTAAAACGCCACCGGCTGATCACCACACATGCTCCCACGATCACTGCTGCAGGTGGAACTGCACCAGTGGCTTTGCAAAAGTGTGAAAAATGTTATCACAGCCAAAGGCCAACTTTTCAGTCAACCACCTTACACTTACCTGTATAAGTACAAAGTGCACGGCATTGAGAAACAGCTACATCGCTCTCTTCAGATAGTCAAGAGTTAATGCAGAGCACAGCGGGTGTGTTTGTTTAAAAAACTCCAGAGGGCCAAATCCAAACAGGTTCAGCCAATATTCTAACGGGAGTCCTATCACTAAAATGAACTGCTACATTTAGAGAGATTATGGACAATTTCTTTAGTATGTTTCAAATGCCTCTTGTTTAGCGTAGTCCCTACGTTAGCTCACGAATACTTTGAATTCTAAGGGCAAGAAGGATGATCTGGCAGTTAAAACACTGGACTAGGAGTCAAGAGAATGGGGATCTAATCTCAGGTTTGCCACAAACTTTCCCGAAAGCCTCAGGCCCTTAAATCTCTCTGCCTGTCAGCTTCCCCATCTGTCAAATGGAAATGCACAATAGTATCTAAATCAATCAATATTTATAAGGCATGTTGAGGTCCTTAAATAAATAAATAATAATAATACTCAGTTCTTATCTAGTGCTTTTCATCAGTAGATCTCAAAGCGCTTTACAAAGCAGGTTAGTATCATAATCTCCATTTTACAGATGGGGAAGCCGAGGCATGGAGCAGTGACGTGACTTGCCTTAGGTTACCCAGCAGGCTAGTCACAGAGTTGAGAATAAAACTCAGGTCTTCTGAATCCCAGGCAAACATTCTATCCATTAGTTCACACTGCCTCTTATCAAAGGTACTGCATGAGTGTGCAGTATTATTATAAGGAGACACTCTATAGTAAGTTATCAAAGGGGGAAGTAAATCTCCTCTGAGTTATTTTTATTTATGTATATTTATGCTCGGTTTTTAAACAATGTTTTTTACAATGGCAAAGCATCACATTTTCTACACTAGAACATTTAACTCTTCATATCTTTCTCAGGGGGCAGCACGGATTTTTCTCTTACATCTTCCAAGATGCTGTTCAACGTGCCAACTAGTTCATAATAGAGTTCTTGTAACCTACAGGGAGAAAACAAGCGCATGGCTGAAATAATATCAGATTATGATTTCAGTGCGTTCAAATGTAATGGAAAATGTGAAGAGCCAAGTGAAAAACGTATACGTAGAACTATCATCTCTTCAACTAATCTGACCTTTCACTGTTCATTTAACAAGATAAAAAGAACAAGGAACGATAACTGGATAATCAGTTGAGGGTGGTTACGTGCATAACAACGAAGAAAGATTTTTTACTCCATCGCCAAAGAAATCCAAATCTTCCTGTAGTAACAGATGACAAATCAGGTCCCATTATACAGTCAAATTTTTCTGGGTTTTAGCATTATTTTGTGTGTTCATTCTCTTTTCATCCTCCCTAATAGAGGCCTCTGCACTCGCTGGGTACTGAGTATTCCCATTTCCTACTCCTTCCATCCCACACAGGACCGCATCATGATAGCTTTCCCATCAATGAAAGAGTAGTGTAGGACAACAGTTCCCTCCAAGATCTCATCATTAGCATTGCATGCCTTCACCATGGGGCATCTGGGGTACTCCTCTCTTTCCTTACACTCTTTCCTGGGGTGGAGGGCAGGGAGCTGGTGGGAGAGCCTGTAAATGTATTGGCCAGTGTGTACATGTACCGCTGTCCTCTACTGACTGGAATGTCAAATCTGCTCAAGGGTTTGGGATCGCTTTGTGGCTGTCTCATAAAGAGGGCTACTTAATGATACTCTCATCTCCTAGCTTCTCCTTTAGCTCAAGTAGTTTTGGAGCAAAAGCTCCTGAATTCCAGGCCCTATGCTCCATATGTGTGTAGCCAAAGACCATAATACCTGAATGTACAGACATGGCTTTGTTACCGGAGTGCCTTTGCAGAGCTCCCAGACTCAAATATGAAGGACCAAGGTTAGGAACCAAACTCAGCTCCCTAGCATGGCAAAGCATTGTGCCCGGGTCAGAAGGCATTCTGTTGTAATAACTTACTACCAGAAATAAGTATCAGCGCTCTACGTACTATTTGCATAGACAGGGGCGGCTCTATGGTTTTTGCCGCCCCAAGCACGGCAGTCAGGCGGCTTTCGGCAGCACGCCTGCGGGCGGTCCGCTGGTAACGTGGATTCGGCGGCATGCCTACGGGAGGTCCGCCGGTGCTGTGCCTTCAGCGTCCCCGCCGCCGAATTACCACCAAAGCCACGGGACCGGCAAACCTCCCGCAGGCATGCCGCCGAAGGCAGCCTGACGGCCGCCCTCACAGCAACCAGCAGGCGGCCCCCCACGGCTTGCCACCCCAGGCACATGTTTGCTGCGCTGGTGCCTGGAGCCGCCCCTGTGCATAGAACAGAGAAGCACCATCATCTGCAGCAGACCTCAGAACCTAGAGCAAGAGATCTGCAAATGTGAGGGGAAGGTCAGTGCTACCAAAGTGCCATTCCATGACCCAGATTTAACCATCCATGGAATATCCAAGACTGCTGGACTTTAGCAACAGCCTATCAAACTTTCTGTAAGCTTTGGCCTGCAAACACTGACCATCAGCTTCAGTAAGATCCAATGTCTTTAACTGTGCCCTCACAGTCCATTCAGAGATCTTTCACCCAAGGAGACTAATTGGTCACAGACTCTCCAGTAACAATGCCAAAGGGATGGCCAGTATTTAATCCAAAGAAAGAAAACAACAACTCAAATGCACATTTTTAAGATTTCTAGCATCTTGGTCTCTGTTTCTTTACACCTACGTTACCTACCTATAAACTGTGTTATCTTGAAGATCGAGGGATGTCAAATAAAGATCAATAAATGGGATACTGGCACAAAAATCTTCTAAGACCATAGGATCAGAATGATGTAATGTCTTTTTAAAGTCCTCCACCAATTCACTGAAGGTTTTATATTCACTGGTTTTCTAATGTGAAAAAATATCCCAGGGAAACACATTATCAAAACAGAATGGGGGTTTTATACAGGGATTTTTGTTCTCCAGGTATCTTAAGGGAGCTTTACGAAAGATGATAGCAGTGCAGGGACCATGGAGACAGGTGGAGCCTTAGGCCTCAACAATAACTTACCCAGAGCTTTCAACCCTGACCTCCAGTTTTGCACACCCAGCTTTGCACACACAGCCAGTTGCTCTGGCAACATGCATGAGGAGTGCCTGGTTTCATGAGCATTGAAAAGGGGTGTTCAAAACTGGAAGAGGGGCTGGAAATTTGGCCATATAACTTTTGTTTTTAAAACACAGTGGGTATGTCTAAGTTGCAGTTTGGAGCAAGCCTCCCAGCCCAAGTAGACAGGGTAGCATTAGCTCGGCTTGAGTGAACGCGCTAAAAACAGCAGTGTGAATGTTGCCACCCAAGCTCAGACTGACCTGACCCCCTGAGTCTGAGCCTCTGCCAGTGCAGCAACAAGCACACAGCTATTTGTAGCATGCTAGCCTCAAGCGGAGCTCCCAGCTGCCGTGTAGACATACCCAGAGAGAACATCGGCCAGGATGCCAAAGTTACTTCTTTTCAGAAGTGTCATAGGATCTTTGTCTTGCACATGAACAACTACCAGATCTGGCAGAGGGGCTGGCAGTTCAGGGTCTCATCCAAAGAGATTGTTCCTATAATAGTTTACATCACCAGTGGATGGAACTGAAATCATTAACCTTAAATCAGTCATTTGAATCAGAACTTGAATCAATGACTTTATAGCCAAAAGGTTAGAGCACCAGCAACTGAGCCATACTGAGCTGTTTATGTAACCCACACACCTCCTGGGTGTGGTGTTCTGTCCCATCTAGTAGCACCGAGACCACGAGAAAGAGAGAGATGAGGTCCCAGGTTCGATCCCGCCCACCGATGCCCAGGGTCTGTCAGCATTGCATTTAAATTATATCTGATAATAATGAGAATGAACAGAAGGGATGGCAGGGGACAGGCAGTCAGATTATTCCAATCATCTACACTGAAGTAGCAGTACACCTCTACCTCGATATAACGCTGTCCTCGGGAGTCTAAAAATCTTACCGTGTTATATCGAACTTGCTTTGATCCACCAGAGTGCGCAGCCCCCGCCCTCCCCTCGGAGCACTGCTTTACTGCGTTATATCCGAATTTGTGTTATATCGGGTCGCATTATATCGAGGTAGCGGTGTATTTACAATTATATCAAATCAGCTTCATTTTCAAAAATTGTCAGAGTAAAAAAATCAAAATTATCCATTACATGAATTTCACGTTCACAAAAACAGACTTTAGATAAATGTAATGGTCAGAGTGTTAGACATGGAAAATGATATTCCCACTTAAAGAACTGGAAGAAAGCTGATTTTGAGTAAGGGCTTGTCTACACTGCCCCATAGTTCAGATTATGGGAATGTGAATAGCAGTGCACACCAGAGTGCTGCACTGTACTTCCCCCGGGGGACACACCACAAACTAAAAGGTTCCTAGTTCGCGGAAAAGTAGTCCTCTTCAAACAGGACTACACTAATGCAAACTAGGAACCTTCAAGTTCGCACCCACAGCACCCACATGAGGG